TTGAAAACCAACGTCACTGCACCCGTTTACCAAGAAATTTTGGAGCACTTCATGCTTCCTTCTGCTGACCAGCTTTTTGAAGATATTGGTCTTATGAAGTATTCTAATTTGTTGAGATAGTGAATTGGTGGGTTTTTGTTAAATGTGAGCAAAAATCATCACAATTAAAAGAACCAAAGACTTAAACTACTTCAGTCTGTGTGCACTGAATTTATTTAATACACGAGTTTAACAATTTGAGTTGAATTACTGAAATAAATGAACTTTTCCATGACATTCTAATTTATTGAGATGCACCTGTATATGGTCCCACTCTAAAAGAGTGTTAAAGTAACACTGAAGCAGTGTTAAAGTTAATGAGATTAATTAAGTGCTGATTGATTAGTGATGAACACCTGCTGTTAACAAGCAGAATCACTGAAGAAAAGAGAAACAAGAATTACAACTGACTTCAGCAACAGCCTGAGATGAAATCAACTGAAATAAGACATTAAATCTCTCAAGATCTCAGCAGAAGATGATTAATCATCTCCACAAACAGCATCACTAGCTTCATGCATTACTAACCAGTTTGAATTTTTGTTTGTCATGCGTCTAAAAATTTCTTATTAAGAATTAACAGAGATTTAGATCTTAATGTTTATTGAAAATAATACATTTTGAAGTCACCGTTGTGGAGATAAGCGTTTGCTTTAGTTGGGCTCTTGACCCTTGACATTTTAACATTAGTTTTTCTCTGGTTGCTGTAACTGTGTTTATGAAGCACATTTGTCATGGCAAGAAAAACCAAGAGAAAACATGTTTAGATTATACATTTTTTTTTATGAATAATTTATATTTTGCAAGGCCACTTTTTTGATGGTGACATAATTGTCATGTAGCCAGGTTCACTGATGTCATCAGTGGTGATGTGTAATTATAGTTTGTTATTGATCACATCTGAATTTTCATGAAATAATAGGAAGAGCTTTAAAAAAACTTTGCACACCAGTTTAGAACATCTGTACTGTTTAGACACGCAGACATCAAGGATCAGCATATGAATCTCAACAATGGTGACGATCATCAGACAGATTCATGTTGCAGTGCATTCTGGGTGCACCAATCATAACTCATCCATGGCTCCCAGCATGCATTGCGACATGAATATATTATGCTGCAGCATTTTCTTACTATTTGCTTTTATTTGTTATTTTTTGTTGTGACTTTTTACTGCCTTGTTTTGTGACGTTCAAAAAGCATATAAAAATTATCAGAATATTCTGTCACCATTGCTGAGATTCACATGCTAATTCGTCATGTCTATGAGTGCCAGAATTGAAACCTTCTTTATTAACCATATTTATAAAAGTCGTTTATGAAGGTTTTCTCACATTATAGCAACAATACAGACATCATGAAAGCACAACAGTTTTAGATAAATTGCAATCAGAGACTCAGACACATGACATGAGTTCTACCATAAGTGCCTCGCCAGCACATATGTGTTTAATACACACAATTGTGCCAGCCCAAAAGATACTTAAGTTTAAAGTCAAGGGTCAAGAGACAACTAAAGCAACCACTATTCACAAAAACGGTAAATTGAAAAAAAACAAAAAAAAACATCTAAACCAGTGATCCTCAGATCTGGCTCGCGAGATCCACTTTCCTGCAGAGTTTAGCTCTAACCCTAATCAAACACACCTGAGTTTGCTAATCAATGTCTTCAGGATCATTAGAAAATCACAGGTAGGTTTGTTTGATTATAGGGTTGGAGCTAAACTCTGCAGGAAAGTGGATCTCGCGAGCCAGATTTGAGGAT